GTTTAGGAGTTTAGGGTTTAGGGGTTTTGAGGTTTAGGGGTTTAGGAGTTTAGGGTTTAGGGTTTAGGGTTTTGGGGTTTAGGGGTTTAGGAGTTTAGGGTTTTGGGGTTTTGGAGTTTAGGGGTTTAGGAGTTAGGGTTTAGGGTTTAGGGGTTTTGAGGTTTAGGGGTTTAGGAGTTTAGGGTTTAGGGTTTAGGGTTTTGGGGTTTAGGGGTTTAGGAGTTTAGGGTTTTGGGTTTTGAGGTTTAGGATTTTGGGGTTTGGGGTTTAGGGCTAGGGTTTAGGGTTTAGGGGCGTCTACAGGGGTTTGGAATTCGGGATGACAGCCTCTGCCTATAGCCATCCAGGTCGTGCCCCTTCCCTTCTGCAGCACGGAGTTTAGATCCCACCCCCCCCCCCTTGCGGAATTCGGAGGTTGAGGCTTTAGGTTGATTTCGCCGGATGGGGGCAGCCACGCCTTCTTGCCGCATCAGGGTTTGGCGGTAGAACATTTGCGATGTATGCGAGTTTCCGGTGCAAGGTTTGTGGTTTGCGGACCAGAGCATGAACTGGGTTTCCCTGAGCATGCACAGGTTCCCTGGCTGCTCAGTGTGCCGTTCTACACAGGCCCAGAGGGGAACTGGGGGATATGACATACCAATCAGACTGCCGTCAGTGTCAGGTCTTGTTCACCGGAACTGCAGCCGGTGGAATTCGGTGGCTCTTACTGGTTCTAGGGGCATGTATTCCTGCAGGTACTGCCATGTGTTTGCGGAGTCGCCATGTTTGCCACTATGCGCGACTTTAGGACCTACCGGATGCTGGCCTTCAACATCTTGAGCTCTGAATGAATCTATGTCCCTCCCAGGCGGAACCCCACGACAAAGCAAAGCCAACCCTGAACTTTATGACTCCTGAGATCCCAACACTAAGCGAGGCGACTGCATGTTGAGCTTTCGGGTTTGGCTCTGCGCGTTGAAAGGTTGGCCTCAGCCTGCTTGAGAGTGGCTCAGTAGCAGAGGAGGTATCCCTGAGCCTGTTTGGGCCAGCACCTTTTGCGCAACCATTACAGCCTCTACCCTGAAGGCCTTGCAGACGGAAATGTTGGCCCCAAGCCCAACTGCCCACCCCAACCAAGCCCATCACTAGTTCGCAAATGCCATCGGCAAAAGGCCGGGGACTCGATGCCATAGCTGAGATGCTTGGCCAAGTTCAACCTGCGAGGTTTCTTCGGTTTTTGTTCGATCAAGGGGCGGTGCGGTGTGAGAGTGCAGGGTTTCGGTTTGGAGTGAAGGCTTGGATGCTCGGGCGAACACAGAGGTCGGAACAGCCCTCCGCAACTTGTGAAGACCCTTGGCAGGCGCAGTCATCCGCTAAGCAGCACTTCAAGCTCTCGTTGCTGTTGATTAGTTGCACTGCTGAGGGGTTTAGGATTTGGAGCTTGATCTTCGTGAAGCCCGATGCTGAAGGATGAGATACGTGCCTTCCTGTCTTGGCGCGGAGGATGCAGTGGCCGATTGCTAGTCATCCTCAAGGGTGAAGGGCTCTACCAGAGTTGTCTTCAGAGCCCAACAAGACATGACAGGTCGATAAAGGTACCTTCTTCTCAAGGGATTCCGATGGAAAGGCTGGGCTTGAGGTGGACCCTTCGGTGTTCATCCAACTGACACCAGAACTGCAGAACATGTCGCGCAACCACTTGCAACAGCATACCATAAAAAAAACGAAGAGCAGAACAAGGCCTCTTAAAAAGTCCTTCAAAGATATAAACGAGGACTGGCGGTCTTGCAACGTCCTCGGTGATAAACTTCCTGGTGCCTTGTGCCTTAGGCCGAAGATGGGCAGTGGGTTACGTGCTATATGGGTTAATGTAGGGGCCTGGATAATTACCAATACTATTTTTTGTTTGGGGGGGGCCCTTATTCTTAAACATACTCTAATGGGCCCCAAAACCCTGTTCTAATTATTAAGGCCCCTACATTAAGGGATAGAAGTTCGCCTGGCTGTAGCACATTGCGTTTTATGGAATTTCTGTAGCAGGCTGGCGAGGGTTTAGGCCTTGGGTTTAGTGGTTGGTTCTGGGTTCTGAGGTGGTGTGCCTGACACGGTTAGGGTTTAGGGTTTAGGGATCTCGGATAAACAGAATAGAGCCTTGGAGTAGACACTACAAGAGCTATTTAGGGAGTACTGTGCCAGCGTGTTGTTGTGCCAGTCAGTGTGTTGTTGAATTCGTTCCTACAGCCTGATAAGCCCGAAACCAAGTGATCTGCATGTGTGTATATATATATATATGCCTGTAGCTGTGTGTGTAAGGACTGTTGCGGGACCCGGGGGCTCAAGGGGGACAATCTCCAAGAGGCGGTTTGGGGCTTAGGCGTAGAAGTAAGGTTACACAGTTCTCGGGCGAATCCGTGCCCAAAGGTTCCCCCTAAACCGTGCTGACACTCTGGACCCTCAGTATGTCACTGTTGAAACCATAAACCCTAAACCCAAAACCCTAAACCCTAAACCCCTAAAGAAACCCAAATTTCCACGAAGAGCCTACTATGTCGCTTCAGGATCCCTTGGGGTGGAGGTTCAATGGATACTTTAGCCCCCAATGACCGACCTTTCTTAGGACTTCCCGGTAGGGTTCCGGGTTTGGCATTCTCAGATCATTCAAGGTTTGGGGCATCTTTATAACAAAGATCCGGTTACTTGATATAGGGGCCTGACTACCTAGCGAGCATATCTCCTTGAAGTTCCCATACATACTCCCAAACCGTGGTCAAATCATTGAGGCCCGTATTTGAGGGTGGATATTGGGGTCCGGTCTGCTGTGAATCTCTGAGGTGTGGCGGCCTTGCGCGCTTGGCTCGCGATGCCACGGGAGAAGATCTGTGAGATTTAGGGTCTAGCATCATCTGGGTTGCCCTAAACCCTATAACCCTATAACCCTAAACCCTAAACCGCTTTGGTTGAACGGTCGATGATACACGTTCTAGCGGTTCTAGCCCGAGCTCCCGAACCCCCGAGCCTTGTTTAAAATCAAAAGTTGTATCCCCAAACTCTATTTTCAATTAAGAAACATTTGCCCATAGGCTCCATTGTAGTTCCTTTTTGGGCTCACTTTTTAGGATCCTACTATAAGTATAAGCCACAAAAGGGAGCGATAATAGAGCCTATAGTTTACGCCCGACAGTTCGACCCCAAAGCTCTCCAGCGCTAGGCGCGGCCGCAAGCAACCAAGAAAAAGGGCGTGAACTATATGCCTGGGGGGGGGACCGAAGTGAGGCAGTCGTATAGGGCTTTCGGGCTTTTGGGAACGGGGTTTAACCTTAATAGGTGTTGAAGGTTCGGGAGGACTGGGGGGGTTTTGTAAATAGGTTCTGTCGGCGAGTACATTTCATTAAACCCTAAGCCATCACACACTTCGAGGCTTTTAGAGACCCCGTGTCGGAATGCGCAGCAAGCCATCGACCTTAAACGAGCGCCGAGAACCAAACGTATGTCCCAGCCGCAGCCCCAAAAGCACGAGCCGGAAATCCTGGCTCCAAATATCCCAGAGGAAAGCACGAGGAAAAAGAGAATCACTTTCGGATTTGCACATCCTCGAATTTACATCACCACCACCCAGAGACGCCAGCTGTGCGTAAGCTAAAAAGCGCATGTTACCATGGTTCAATTTTGGGCATGGTTGTTGCTGGTCATACCGTATACTTATTTGTCATGCCAGCTCTGGTGTTGACAATGTTGCAGACACAGGTACTTAATGATAACTAACTGATCTAAATGTCTTGCCCGCGCCGGGTCACCAACTATCCCGTGCCCCTAAACCCTAAACCTTAAAATCGGTCATCAGCATTAGCTAACCCTAAACCCCAGGTACCTACTACAAGGGGTACTAAAGCCCCTATGGCCTATATAGTAGGTACCTGGGGGGGTTAGGGTAATTGGACACATAACTGCCAGTCATCACCCTAAACCCTAAACCCTAAACCCCTAAACTCACAGGGTCTGGCCCGTGGGGGACGAGCTGGAAAGAGCAGACGTCGGCCTGCAAAAGCTGTTTACAAGGGCGAGCTCTGCAAAACCTCATTGGTTCTTGGATGTTAGGGTTTAGGGCTTAGGGGGTTTAGGGTGTGGGGTTTAGGGTTTAGGGTTTATGCTTTATAATAGCAAAAACTCCGAACAAAAACAATGAAGCCTACTAGCCCATATAAGAAGTTGACAGTACAAAGCCGAACACCCCCACAAAAAAGCTCCGACACAGCACCTATAGCATACAGACAAGCGAAGTACACACTTAAGCAGTTGCAAAACTACCCTAAAGCCCTAAACTCTAAACTCCCAGACCCGAAACCCTAAACCCTAAACCCTAAAGCCTAAACCATAGGCCCCATAGTAGTTCCTTTTTGTGGCTTGTATTTAGGATCCCATTAGGCCCTTTTTGCAAGCCGAAAGCCTAAAAAGGCCCCCACAACCGGCCTCAACCCCTGAACCCCTAATCCCCTAAACCCTAAACCCTAAACCCCTAATCCCCTAAACCCTAAACCCTAAACCCCTAATCCCCTAAACCCTAAACCCTAAACCCCTCAGCCATGGCTTTGGCGCACCCTGGATCCCGGCCCTTCCCGGCCCTGGAGGCTGTGACTCTTGCCTCGATCCCGTGGGGTTTAGGGTTTAGGGTTTAGGGTTTAGGGTTTAGGGGTTTAGGGTTTAGGGTTTGGGGGGGTTTAGGGCGTTCAGGACTTAGATTTCGATTTTGCAGCGGCTCAGGGCCTAGGGCGTTTAGGGTTTAGATTCAAGGTGGAGGTCTTCTTAGCTCCGTTCTGTACGCTCAGGGTGTCCCGAAAAGGGGCCGAGCTCGATTGGCACAATTATTGAAAGCCGCTTCGCTTATGTCGTTCATGTTGTTTTGTTTGGCCACCTCGCTCGTTGGCGGCAACCCTAAACCCTCAACCCCTAAACCCCTTGACCCGAACCCCTAAACCCCTAAACCCCCAACCCTAAACCCCGAAACCCCCAAACCCTGAACCAAGGTCTTTCGTGCCTGCCGAAGCCAGCCGCAAGCCACGACCGAGGAGACCGTCAGTGCTTTTGCAAGCATTTGCGGCTTTGGGGGGGTTTGGGTTTTGAGGTTTTGGCGGTTTACGGTCTGGGGCTGAGGAAGTAAGGTTCATGGTTTTGGCAGCTCGTCGTGTTGGGTCTTGGAGTTCATGATTCCTGAACCATGTTCTTCGCCAAAGGAAGACACACTAAGACTAAAAGACCATCAGATTTGCAAGGCTGGGAAGAAGGAACGCACTGTGATGAGAGGATTTAGGATTTGGATCCACAGGGCCTCTCTGTCTATCTTCCTCTCTCTCTCTCTCTCTCTGTCTACTTATATATATATATATAACCATGTATTTATAAATAGACCCTTTACACAGACGCATAAAAACAACATATTTGTATATATATATATATACACATACATACATCCCTACATTAGGCAGTTCTCCTATCTTGCGAGCTGTGTGCCTTCCGAAAAGCCAATTCAGGAAGCTGGCGGTCCTAAATCCGAACCTCGCAAGACCCTCATAACTATAACTGCAAACCCTGGGCCTTTGAATCCCAAAGCTCGCGAAACTACAGAAACCATAGAACTGACATAGAATGAAGCCAACACGAACAGTGATACGCAGACCACCAACATGCACCCTAGAGACCCTAGACGCTAAAGCCTCAGAAGAACGGGAAGGCCTAACATGTGTAGAAGCGAGAACCCCAGCCAGCGACCGTCCGGCCTTCGTTAGGTCATCGCCCATGCGCTCAGTGGCACTATCGGCTCAGTCCTGGCCGAGGCATGCCATGATCTTGGGAGCCTGTGATCCTCCGGGTTCAGGAACCAAAAAGCACCCAAACGTAATAATATAGGGACCGTAATCATTACCTATACTATTTTGGGGGGTATAGCATAATGTTCCCCAAAACCCTATTCGAATTATTAAGGCCCCTACATGAAACTTGTGTTGCATATCATGGCTTTGTCGGCTTGCTCAACGAGGGGGTAATTGGATATCCCAAAGGTATGGTTGTGTTTAGCTGCTTTTTAGGACCCCTATAGGATCGCAAGACGCGGTGGGGGTCGGTCACATCAGCCATAGGGTCTTGCTACATGGGTACGTAGTTTTGGTAACCTGGGACCCCTTAACTCTACAAGCCGATAGTTGTAGAAGCATTCTAAACCCTAAACCCTAAACCCTAAACCCTAAACCCTATGAGCTTAAGCCTAAAGCAAGACCCGGAGAAGTCCCCACGTAACTACAGTAGAATATCACCCAAAACCCTGTTCTACTTATAGCCTAAGCCATATAGGAGCCTAAAGCCCTAAAGCCGTAAACCGAGTCCCACTTACAAGGCGATCCTGTTCCCGATTGACACGATCAAGCTCAAGGTGCAGACGGCTCCTCGGCTGCAGCACAGAAAGTCTCTGGGAAGAGGCTTACAGTCGAGCTTCGGGGCTGCAGTCGGTTAGCGGGCGTTCAGGGTTTAAGGATTGGCATAGTTCTGGCTTTTTTAAGGCCTTCGGAGTTGAAGGTTGAAAGTCTTAGGGCTTAGGGGTTTGGGGCATGGGCTCTCGAGTGGAGGGAGGGTTTAGGGGTTGAGGGCGGCGGTTGAGGGCGGGGCACTCTATGAGTTTGGGGTTTGGGGTCCAAGAAGCTCCACAAACTAACAGACCAAGGACAAGCCTCTTTTGCAACGTAGCCACCAGGTTCACGGTTGCTCGGGAGAGACGAAAGCTGAAGCCCCACAATCTAAAGTCCTAAAGGACCAAAGCTGGTTTCTTGAGGGCAGGGATTGGGGGTTTAGGGTTTAGGGTTTAGGGTTTAGGGATTTCGGGGTTTCGGTTGTCTGAAGTGTCGCATGGGTATAAGCTGCTGCAAGCATCAGACTTTTGGGTACGACTTGCACTACAGATTGACGCCCTCCTTCCCTGTTACCACCCTAAACCCTAAACCCTAAACCCTAAACCCTAAACCCGAAACCCTAAACCCTTCAAGTGAGGTTTTCGGTTTTGTCACATTCTCGGAAGATCAACCGTGCTCACATTCGCCTGGCTCAGAGCCGCATCATGTGAAGCAGCTTCCATGGCAAGTCCCAAAAGTCAAGTTAGTTTCTTTCGTGTCTGTGTCATACATCATAATGTGCTGTGTTGGGATGCGTTCACAGAAAGTCAACATAGACAGAGACAGTAAGAGATGCTGTGCCCATGGTAGATATGGAAGCAGCTCAAGAACTGTTACCTCTTAAATGCCACAGACTGTTGGTCGTGTATGCATGCATACCAAAACACCAGAGCAAGCAAACATACACGGCTGTAGAGAGAAGCATGAAGATAGGGGCCCTAAACCCTAAACCCTAAACCCGGGAAGTTCAAGCCCATCAAGTCGCCTTGAGTTCGTGAGCGTCTCTCATCGACTTTAACTTATCCGTTCTGACGGTTAGGGTTTAGGGTTTAGGGTTTAGGGTTTAGGGTTTAGGGGGTCCCACAGAGCGTCGACGCCGGGCCGAAGCAAAGTGCAACACCCCGAAGTTCAGGGTTTAGGGTTGCGTGGGCGCTGGCCGGCACCGTAGTCCGTGCTGAAAAGGGTCCAGCGACCTCCCGTAGAAAAAAGCCTCAGACCAAATGCATATAAGGCCTAAGCCCTCACTAAACCCTACACTACAAACCCCTAAACCCTAAACCCCTTATACACATAACCACTAAAAGAGCAAGAGCAGTACAGATCCGAGGCCGCAGCTAGCGATCGCCGTGGCTTTCTGGCCACCCTCATCTCCGTGCTGGGCGAGGCCTTTCCGGGTTTCAGGGGCCTGATACTTCAAGAGGCAAGCTGATTACGACTGATGCCGTTAGGGGTTTAGGGGTTTAGGGGTTTAGGGGTTTAGGGTTTAGGGTTTAGGTCGTTCTACCCAGAGTAAGTATCCCCTAAGCTCCCTGAACTTCTGCTCACTTCGAAGACTACGGTCCGCGAGCTCCTGCTCCCCTCCTCCTCTGAACCCTAAGGTCCTAACAAGAGCTCGTCACCCTGATTAAACTCACTAAACCCTAAACCCTAACCTTAAAAGCCACGGTTTTTAGTAGGGTTTTCTAGAAAATCCTAATAATGCCCCACAAGCCCTGAACTCCCTAGACTCCGCTCAAGGGGGAGGGTCCTAGGGATCCTTAGGGAGCGTTAGGGAACCTAACGGAGTACTAGGGAGAATTGGGGATTACTGGGTTATATACCCCCCTTAGAACCCCCTCCCTTAAGGATTCCATAATGTAGCCCTCAGGCCTGCTAGAGGCCAGGCTCCGACCTGTTTTGCCACCATACGCTGAACGGCCCCAGTCTGGGTTGCTGTCAAGCAACTTAACTTGGTCCATAACGGGCATCTGTAGTAATTAGTTTAAATAATAGGATTCCTTTTCAAAGTAGTTTAGTTCAGTCCATAATGGGCATCTTTAGTAACTTAGATAGTAGGGTTCCCTTTCCAGCGTATAGTCCATAATGGGCATCTGTAGTAATTTAAATAGTAGGGTTTCCTTTTCAGAGTACTTTGGTTTGAGTTCCTGAGCAGCAACCCAGCACTTGGCTGTTACATGAGCATTGGCCTGAAAAGACCGAGGGTTGACAGCGTATGTTTCCCTGGTTGAGAACCGGCTTGTGAAGCACAATGGTGCTCAGAAATGCTGCTCCTTACAACATGCCCTGAGCAGCCAGACTGCTTGTAGTCTTGAGCGATCAGCAGCGAGTAGTGGGCACCACTAGCAAGTAGTGGGCAGCAAGTACAGGAACGGAAATTGTTGACTTTAGGTTTCACGCTTCCCAAAAGCGCCCCCTTCTTGACACCAAGTCCCAGATACCTGAAGCCGTAAGCCCCAAGTTAACCCCAAACCCTAAATCACTAAACCCTAAACCCTAAAACCCAAAACCCTAAACCCCTAAACCCTAGACCCTATAAATCCCTACAGGCTGAAACCCAAAGGGCCCCTGGTAGCTGAAGACGAAAGGCCGGTGTCCGGGGACTCTATCGCGGTATCGGTGCCGCCTTGATAAAGGTGCTCGGCCTCCATTGCTTTGTTGGGCGTTTAGGGCACTACTCCTGTTACTCCTGTTTTCAATAATTATGAATAGAAGTTGTAATTGTAGTATTAGGGGTGTTGGGTTTAGTCAGAACGATCGCCGATCTCGCGTTTAGGGTTCAGGGGCTTAGGGTTCAGGGTTGCATGTTTCTTCTGTAGATCAAGTGGACGCACCTATAACTGCATCCCACAGTTTCTCTTGAGAAGGCTCTGCCCTGTGGTGTGGTCCGGCCGGCATACAGTTCGAGTCCGTGCTCAAGAAAGGAACAGTGGTCACCAATACTTCTACAAAGTATTCAGGTTCCTACATAATAATGGAGCTTGATAAGGTCTTCAGTTGGTGTCCAGGGTGCATGAACTGGCGAGACGGCGAGGGGGAGAGAGAGAGAGAGAGAGACAAATATAGAGACAGAGGCAATCCTAGCCCCGACGCTACTTGAGAGTCTTGTTGTCCACATTGCCAAGTCATGCCGAAACAGTACCACAACCCGATAACAAGCCCGAGTCTCATTACAAGCCTGGGAGAGAAGATCTTGAAGTCTTTCAGCAACAGTAATGTCACAGTTCAACAGGATGACCCTAACCCTCCAGGTACCTACTATATAGGGCCCTAGGGCCCTAGGGGCTCTAGTACCCTATATAGTAGGTCACTGGGGGGCTAGGGTGAGCTAGCAGCTCCAGAACTACATACCGCGTAGGCCATGCCTGGCTTTCAAAGCTGATTCTACTTGGAGGGTCGGGGGACTTAGTAAGTAGTTATTTTACAGAATTATAAGTATCCTAACCCCCATTAGGATCCCTATTAGGGTACTTATACGTCTACTTATTACCCACTTACTATGTCTTCCGGGCCCAACTCGACTCAACGCCTGAAGATCCTATAGCCTTAGAGCACAAAGCCCCTTGAGTTGTTTGGGTCCCGTAGACGCTTTTTTTCGGGATATGTACTGAACTAGGGCAATGTTGGCGTCATGGGGCCCTAAACCCTAAACCCTAAACCCCTAAACCCTAAACCCTAAACCCTATGGAGTCGAGGAGTCGATCCACAGCCTGAACTACTGGATTTTCCATGGCAGCCTCTTCCGATTGTTCACCGAGTTTGAGGCCGGTTCTAAAGCCTAAACCGCACACCCTCACCCTACGAGCCGTGAGGCCTGTTTAGGGTTTAGGGTGTGGGGTTTGGGGTGAGGAACAGACGGTGCAGTAGTTTACTTTCAAGGGATCTTCAGTCTAAGCTTCCGTCAGTTTGTCATCAACAGCTTTCCTGCGTGCTCTTGCCTTAAGACGGGGCGAGGGTTGCATGGGCGCTGGCCGGCACCGCAGTCCGTGCTGAAAGGGTGTGGGGTTTCCCATAGAATCCCTATAAGCCCTACAGCCCTAAGCTCCCCATACTGGACCAGGTCCACATGTAGGGGTGGCTTTTGTTTAGGGGCTTCAGATTCCGGATATACCCCTGGGTTTCCGGCTTTTCGTGATAAGGAGGACATGTAGCCTGCCTAATTCATAAAGGCCTCAAGAAGTACCTATGTGTTTCCTCAAAGTTCCTTGTTCTATTTATAAAACCAAGGAGCCCGAAGCACGAAACCCTGCTCCTCTTATTCTTACGGCCCCTGCAGAAGGCCCCTACTTACTTTAGACATCGCAGTGTTGTCTTGTGTTAAGGAAGAGTTGTCCGAGGTCCACAGGGCCCAGTAGGGCCACGGGTCCGCAAAGCTTCTAGCGGCTCTAGACTCGGTTTAGGGTTGAGGGTTTATAGAGACCTCGTTTATTATAAACCCAGAGGGTCCACATATACTGCCATTATGGAATTATAGGTCCCAAAAGACCGTCCTTATTATGGTTTTGGGGACCTAATTCCATAATGGCAGTATATATGGACCCTCTGGGAAACAAACCCTATATGCCTTAAACCCTAAACCGTTTTATCCTGGCAGTGCGGCCTAGTCCGTGAAGTGGGTGGACGAAAAACCCGAAGCCATGAGGCCCCACCGAGCTTGAATCCCTCAGCACAATAAACCCCGAAATCCTCAGTTTCTCGGAACCCCTAGAAAAACCATAAGGGAGCCTAAACCAAACCATCTGAACGGAGACCCCTGGCACAGGACACGTCCGCCACCTCTCCGATGCGCCGGCTCGTGCTCAATCTTGCATCAGGGCATGAAGGACTCCGAGGTAGGGTTCCAGCCACTCTAATATAGGGGCCTGAATAATTACCTATACTCTTGCGGGGGCCTCCTTATTATAATTATAGTATAACATACTCCCAAAACCCCATTCTAATTATCAAGGCCCCTACATTACAAGGCTTCCGTCAAGCGCTGCTTGGTGTGCTCTTTACTTTTAAGGTCCCTTCGATGGGTCACTGTTACAGGAAGCTACCAAGTGGACACCTACCACCCCGAACCCTCAAACCTCTGCGGCGTGGAGTTTCCGTCGGGGGTTGGTCGTAGTTCCAGTGTGCAAGGGTTTCGGTTTTGGGCCTCTAGGACTCCAGTTTTCGTGCTTCTTCGGCCTGGTAGGTATGGCGGTTTGGGGTTTAGGGTTGCAGCTGAGTGTTTCAGCGTGCTGTCTAGGGTTTAGGGTGGCGGTTCACGGTATAGGGTTGTCGTTCAAGAATTCGGGCCTTCGATACTGCCCAAGCCCCGAACAGAGGTGCCAACGATCGTAGGCATTCATCGACGACCGTCGGCTACAAAGACTAGCAGGATTCATGTACTACAGGGCCGTTAATAAGTAGAATAGGGTTCTGGGCTCCTTTGTAGTATGAGTATACGAATAAGGAACACTAAGAATAACATTGGTAATCATTCAGGCTTCTACATCAGGGCATAGGGCTCCAGGGTCTTTCAGTTGGCTTGTCCTATAGACTCGGATTTGACTCGCTGCTTCAGGGCCGCGCAGTAGGACCATGTCTAAGGGAGGTGCGCGGTTGAACGAAGGGCCGACGTCACCCGCTATCGTAGGTGAATGAATACGCAGAATAAGAGCGTAGACCCCGGGTTAACAGACTCCCTTTATTTTCATAGCCCAGATGTCATCACCCTGGTATGAGCAGCAGAATGCCTGTTAATTCAGTCAGGGGCTTGTATTCACCGGGGGTTAACATGTCTATTCCGGGCTCCCACATATAAGATACTCCGACTTCTCAGGCCTCGATACTCTCCGGCGCAAGCCTAGAGTATGTTTTGTATCGAGGCACCCGGGGTTTCCGCGGCCATAAGCCTTCTAAACCCTAAACCCCTTCCTGTGACTTTGTGGTGTTGAGATCCAGTGCAAGCCTAGGCTTTGGCGTAACCCGAAGTTCCGAATTCAGTCTGTGGGAGACTGCAACCTAGACCTGTGGTAAAGATCGCCCTCCTCACCACTTCTATGAACATTCTCAAGGACAGGGCTCCTGCTGGTATGATCCGGAAAAGAAAGTGGCGCTTTTAATAATCAGGGGTCGGGTTTAGGGTTTAGGGTTTAGGGTCGATTATGAGAACAGTTTCCTACAGATGTCCTTCCTGTGTTTCCTGGCCTAGGTATCGAAGCAGATGCGCTTTGGACGGAAATCGAAATCACCCTCCGAACCCCGATATAGCACACCCTGAAACCCTCGGCTGAACAAACAGCAAAAGATACGCATAGCACAGAATACCCCAAAGCCATATCCTAATTATTGCTTGTGTAAGGCCCATCCTAAAATATAGAATTTCAGAAGTACGATTCAGTATCCGAGGATCCCACATACCTTACATGCCGTACACGCAGTCAAAATACGAACGGAGTGCAGGAATACTCAGCACTCTCGCGTTCGCATCGCCTCTTCAGAATTTCTATTTGCTGTTTTGCAGGTAATGTTGAGGTGTTCGCGAGCTGCAGAGGGATGAGGCGAAACTCATTTAACCTTCCTTGCTGCACAAAAGCCCACAACCCATTTGCGGCAAAGCCACAGGTGTATTGTTATCAGGGGTGGCATCCTAGACCCTAGCTGCCCTCTGTGACCCTACCATGAAGTTAATACCCATAGGCCCCATAGTAGTTCCTCTTTAGGCCCTATGGGTAGCCAGTAGTAGAACCCCGGATGCCGAAGTTCAAGCCGAAGACGCCCCGCCCAAAGTCGTACAGCCTTCAGCTATGCTGCCGAGGCTTGGGAGAATGAAGAACCGTTGATAAACTTCCATGAAATGCGGAACCCAAGCCGCAACCCTAGACTAAAACCCCACTGCCCCACCCTAAAACCTAAACCCTGGACGTGGAACGTTGGCCAAGGAACTGGCTGTGCACCGTGCCCTTCGAGGCTTTCCGTGTTTGGTGCAGTTTGTTTGAAGGGGCTGGGTAAGGGACGTGGAGTTAGTGTAGGGGCCTCCATAATTTCCAATAATTACTCTTATGGGGGGGTTCCTTATTGAAAAGTATAGTATAACGGGCCCCAAGACCATATTATAATTATTAAGGCCCCTCTACTTCCGGGCCCCTGCCCGGCTCAGCACCTCACGGGGGCTAGAGCCAGCTTTTGGGGTTGAGGGGCTGTGGTTGCCGCAGTGATTTATGTAGTATGGTTTAGGGTTTAGGGCTTAGGGTTTATAGGGCTTAGGGGTTTAGGGTTTAGGGTAAATTGCGAGTCTCAACATAACTCTGAAATCTGAGAAGGAAGGCCTGGCATTTAAATCATAGCCGTTTTCGACGGAGCCCATCCGGGCCCGACCAGGTCCTCGTGCCCTTCCCTGAGCCCGAGCCCTCAAGTCTAAACCACCGAATGTTCAGACTCTAACTCTAAAGCCTAAACCCTAAACCCTAAACCCTTACCCAGAGGCCCCATAGTAGTTCCTTTTTGCGGTTTGTATTTAGGATCCCATTAGGTAATCCCCAAACAGGAGCTACAATATGGGGCCTATGGGTAACCCCACCTTTGACAAAAAACAAGTAGGACATGGTGTCGCAGGTTAGACCTGCAGGCACCAAATTCAAAAATTCTTGCAGACTCGAAACCCTGAGCCCTACCTGTAGTCTCCATTGTAGTTCCTTGTTTGGGTTTAGCCAAATATATATATATATATATATATATTAACGAGTTTATAAGGTATCCCCAAAAGGAACTACAATGGAGACTATAGGTACACCCTAAACCCCTAAACCCTGAGCATAGTCCTCAGCCATGCGAGAGGGAAAAAAACCTTTAAACCCCTAAACCCTAAAGACCCAGAGCTGGAATCCTTTTCAACCCGAAACTCCTCTCCGGCGTCGCGGAAACAGGCCTGAAACCGCTATAGGCTTTAAACCGACCTGTAGGTACAGTAGAAGGAAGCAAAGCCTTACAACCCTGTAACCCTCAGCGCTTTATATCAATCCCCAGAACAGTATCAACAATTGCCCTGTAAACATGAAAGCCTCTTTAAAGCCCTTGATGCCCCAAAACACCATAAAGCTATAAGACCGCGTGACCCCTCTTAAACAAAGCACAATATCGATCGCCGTTTTCAAAGCAAACTTCGGAGCTTGCCTCGACCTCCCTAAACCCTAAACCCTA